GGAGCTCGAATTTCGGCTGCTCCCGGGATGAATCTTCTATAAAAATTCACCATTCCTACAAACCTGCTCAACTCTGCCTGGTCCTTTGGCTTCAAAAATTGCTTGATGCCATCCACCTTCTCGGGGAAAGGTGTGATACCCTCGCTAGAGATCTTATAGCCTAAGAATTGTACAATCGGCTTACAAAATACAGATTTCGAGGTATTAATTACTATACCATAACCCGCGAGTCGCCTAAATACTACTTCTAGGTCACGCAATTGTTCGCTTTTGTTTTTGAACGCGATAATCAAATCATCTACACAGGCGTAACAAAAATCAAGTCCACGTTTCACTTCGTCTATAAACTTCTGACACGTTTGCACGGCGTTTTTCAAACCGCATGTGATCACTGGAAATTCGAATGATCCGAATGGTGTTACGATAGCTGTCTTCTGCAACCGGAATCTGGTGGTATGCATGCACCAGATCGATCGTCGAGAACACGCTGCATTAGTGCAATGCCTGAGCGAAACCCTCAATGTGCTGTGTTACGTCCTGAATTAAGGGTTCTTGCCTTTATTTAAAGTGCTTAAGCACACCTTGACCTAACTATCTATCTTAAGGGAATAGGTATTGGATATGGAAGGAGTGACACGAGATTTCTTTAATATTATACTCTGTTACATACCACATGCTGCTTAGCTCGGTCTAATCAACGGTTCGTGTGTCAGTGGCCTTTATGCTGACACCAGTCACTTCCCGATACTATGTAATTATTTCTATACGTAACAGCTCAAGTTCCCAGCGGTTTCTAGGTAATGCGTTCGTACCTCGGGTAAGCCGTTTAAGAATCTTTCGATTCAGGGAATCAGCTGAACGATGCTTTCCGTTGTTCTTCCGAACGGACAGACTTCGCGGGTTAAGAGTCGAGAATCCGAACTGTCATATGGGCCCCGATGGCCAGGCTTTATAGCCGAAAAGCTAAAGAGTCAGCATCCTATTTTCCTTTAATCATTTCGACATGTCCTGGTCTTCGTATATATCTCGAAATGCCTTAATTATGTCAAAACGCTTAGTCGTCATTTCGACATGTTCTACATTTCGAGCGCATCTCAGACCGATGACCTAAAGTGTCGAAGTGATTAGTCGCCACATTTCGATACTCGCTGACTGTCACCGAGCGCGTATTACGAAAGCGACAAATTACAAGGAATCTAGCCCTTTCACATGGCTATAACACTTCCCCCCTTTAGATACAAAATAGGCTCGAGAGGCTGTTTTGTATATAATGTCCTTGGCATTTGTTTCTTTTGTTTATCGTTAGTATGAAATACAGTGGTGCGCCCTAAATAATAAATACAGTGAAAAAAGTGTTAGAGTAAACGTAAGTATACAATGGGTCCGCCCTATATATATATAAATATAAATTATTATAATTAAATACAATACATTTGAATTCTGACTAAGAAAAGAAATCGTTGTATATGCCTGGGTTTCCTTCCAAGGGTTCGATGACGTAGTCCTGCTTGCGTGGATAGAATGGGGTGGCCAAAATTATGGTATGGGTGGCCATTCCGTGTGGGTTGCAAGTGTATATTAACAATTTTGTCTGTCGGTGTGTATGACGGCGAGTGCTCGCGAGCGTTACTCTGGCCTTATCGAGTCAGCATTGTTCGGAATTGGCTCGGCGAAGTCGTAAGCTAATATCCGTGCCTATGTAGGTTGGTAATTTGTTTTATTCAGGTCGGCGCATTTGAGTATGCTAATTTTAATTTATCTAAGTGTTTAACGAATTTTTCTCCGGTTCTGGATGCGAGGATAGCATTATTCTGATCTGTTATACCATGGATCGTAAGCGGTCCTACGTAGCGAGCGTCAAGTTTCCCAGTTCGCGATTCTTTCAGAACATAAACTTGATCGTCTGGCTTAAACGCGACTTCATTTGCTCTTTGGTCGTATTGTTCCTTGGAGCGGATTTTGCTTCTCTCCACGTTTTCCCTGGTTAGTTCTCTGATTCTGTCCAGCGTTTGTATCAAATTTTGTACATAAGTCGGATAGGTTAATATATCGTCATATGCCATGGGTGTAAAGGATTCTCTAGCTACGTGTCCAAATACGACTTCGTACGGCGTAAAGTTGGTCGTTTCGTGTGTTGAAGTATTATACGCGTACGTAGCGAAGGGTAACAGCAGGTCCCAATCTTCCTGAGTCTCTAGATAATGTTTCAAGTATTCCACTAGCACTAAGTGGCTCCTTTCGAGGGATCCATTTGTCTGTGGTCGATATCCGGATGTGGTTGCGTAACTGATTCTAAATGGTTTAGCAATTCCTTCGATAGTTTGATTGATAAAGGATCGGCTTCTATCCGTGAGGATAACGCGAGGGGCTCCGAAGATGGCGATGAAATATCGAGACAGAGCATCGGCAATGGTATTTGTCTTAATATCAGGAAGTGGTATTGCCATGCAGAATTTAGATAATTGACATTGGAGAGTTAAAATATTGCCGGTTTCCACTTCGGGTCGCTGGTAAAGGTCCAACAGTGTCTAGGGCCACTTTATCGAATGGTTTAGCCGGGGTATCCGTGATCAGCATTGGTTCACGCGTTTTAATTCTTACCAATTTTTGTTCTTGGCAACTTTTACATGTCCTGATGTAGTCTTCCACATCTCTATGCCAATCGAATAGGTTCCGGATTCGTGTAAAGGTTTTGGTTACTCCCTTGTGTCCTCCTATTAAGCTTTCATAATAGTGTTTAATTATATTCTTCCGTTGTTCTTCCGGAGGTTGTATTTGTCCGGTACAGATCGTAATTTCTATGGGAGCGTCGTGAAATATTTCGGTCAACAATTTTTCCAGTGTCCGTTCGTCGAAGTGGTGTAAAGTTTCACCATAAGCAGCTATTCGGATATTTTTTATTCCGTCCTTTTCCATGGCTTGTTTTAGAGCTTTGAGTAAACTAGGCATTTGGTTGATTCCGATTTCATGGAAGAAGTGACTTGTCGCGACGATGCTATAAATTTTTCCTGTTTCGGTATGCGTCATAATGATCTGTCCTAAGGTTAAATCCTGGGATAGGAATTGCGTTTCCTGTATTAACCCTAATGTCTTTAATGTTTTGTCATTTGTGCTAATCAATGTACGGTCGGCTGGAATAAAATGCACGTAGTTACCTGGTGCGGCAGTAAGAGGGGTTTTGGAAATAGTTATTCTGCATTCAGGAATCATAGGTTCTATTCTTCCGGCGACATGTCCCAAAATTCGTCGATAAAAATTCTCGTCTTTTTTGATTTTTCCTGAAGGTCTTCTGATTTTGGAGCAGAGTTTGGCAAGGGATCTATTACATTTGTGTCGTTATTTTCTGAGTAAGTTTCAGGGGATTCATTGTACTGTATCGGAATATCAAACGTTGTCGTGTTACTCCACGAGACTCGTTTCTTTCTTGTAGTTATTTTAGAATTTTCTTGTGTGGATTCCAAGGGTGGTTCTATGTCTGTTGGTTCTACTGAATCGTGTCCGATGTCCGTATGCGTTGAATTTGCCAATGGTATGTCTGTAGAATGCTCAATCATTGAATCATCGAAAGTGTCTTCTAGTCGGAAGGATGGTGGTTCCTCATAATTTGGCCGTTGTTGTCCTTGGCGTCTTGTCCTGATTGTGTCGGCAATTGCTTCATGTGTTTGCTCTTGAGGTTTTGTGGTCAAAATTATGGGGTATGCCTGGGCAACGGGATTTCTAGACAAGGCATCGGCGTTCGAATTTACACGGCCGGGTTTGTAGAGGATCTCATAGTCGTAATCGGCCAGAAGAATTCTCCAGCGAGTTAATCGGGAGACTGGATCCTTGACTGAGAAAAGCCATCGAAAAGGTTTATGATCTGTTACCAAAGTAAATTTTCGTCCATATATATATGTCTTAAAGTATTTTACAGCGAATATGATCGCCAAACATTTCTTTTCGGCGGTTGAATAATTTTACTGAGCTGTCGAAAGAGCCTGGAATGCGTACGTGATGGGTGGATCCTGGCCTATTTTGCCTTGACTCAAAATAGCGCCGATCGCTTCATCGGATGCATCAGTCGTGATAATGAACGGCTCGTTGAAATCGGGATACCTTAAGACGGGCTCGTTGCATAGAGCATGTCTAAGTTCCTTGAAGCTCTTCTGTTGCTCTTCGGTCCAGATAAAGGGTTTCTTAGGACTGGTCACACTGGTTAAAGGTTTTGCCCGTTTTGCCAAGTCCGGGATAAATCGATAATATTTGACATGATAACCGATAATAGTTGACAAGTCCTAGGAATTGTTTAATATTTTTCTTTGTTTTAGGAGTTGGGAATTCAGCGACTACCTTAATCTTCTTCGGATTCGGTCTAACTCCATTTGCCGTTATGATGTGTCCTAAATATGTTACTTCAGATTTCAGAAATTCGGCCTTATCGGTTTGTAACGTCAAACGGTGTTTTCTAATTACGTCTAAGAATGTTTGCAGGCGTTCTTTGATTTCTTCCAGTGTGTTTGCAAAAATTACGACGTCGTCCAAATAAACATATAAAATTTTTCCGATTAGTTTGAATAGGATTTTCTGCATTAATTTCTGAAAAGTAGCAGGTGTATTTTTCAGTCCGAAGGGCATTCGAGTGTATTCGAAGTGTCCTTCAGGCGTGGTGAATGCAGTCTTCTCTGTATCCT